ATTTGAATAGATCTAATAATTTATATACTACTTTAAAATATCAATACTTATCAAAAAAAAATTAATTGATAATACTATCTTTAAAAAAATAAAAAGAAAATAATAACATATTGTAATAATTTCTTATTAGCCAAAGAAATCATTAATTATCTAGTAATAATTTACTATAGTTAAACATTACAATTTTTAAAGGAAATGCAATTCAATTTTTTTTTTTGGTTGAACCATATGCAATTCAGTTAATACAACCTAAAATATAAGAAAAATCTTGACCGTAACAATTACATTACGTCAACAGTGTCACTTTATATAATCATCCACTAACAAGGGAATAAGTGGACAAATAAGCCCTACAAAATTCAATAACCATCATATAATATATAACCATCTCCATATAAAAAAAATTAGTCCAATTTATTTATTTATTTTTAAAAAAAAGTCAAAATAGTTGGCGTGCAACGCATTCGTGCACCAACTAGCAGATGATAAAATAGGCTAATCCAAAAGTACTTTTGCTCTTCCATAAAAATTAATTTCTCAATAGAATTGATGATGAACTTAACTAGGCTTCGCAACAAGATAAATGATTATTTTCAACTGCCTTTTTGATTTTATATATTAAAAGAAAATTGCTTAAAAATTTAGTATAAAATTAATCAATTATAAACAATTCTTGGAATTTTTGATTCTATATTTCTCATAGCTGGATTTATGAATTTTCTTCTATAGATATACCTCCCATTTTAATCCTTATTAACATAGTAATAAAAGTTGATTAATGTTTTTCATTTATATTTTTGCCCCTCTAACCTGGAAGTCTGGCTCCACCCCTGTATAGGATGTAAGCTAAATACCCTTGATAGAATTCAAGCCTATGCTGCACATCTCGGTACTGAATGCATTCTCTATAAAGCTGCTGATGAATCCCACCCTCACCTCTTTTTTAATTGCTCGTTCTCTACAAGGGTTTGGAACTCTGTGTTGGTTATTTCAGGCATTAATCTACAACCTGACCCTGGAGTGACCTAATTGATTGGATTGCAACCAACTGGAAAGGAAAATCAATGCTAATGGTTCTTCTCAAACTTAGCCTTGCTGCTACTCTTTATCAGTTGTGGATGTAGAGAAATAATAGAAGATTAAGAGGTATCGAGAGGAACAATAATTTATTGTCGAATAACATGTATTGAAATATAAAATACTTGTAGTCAGCTCCGTGCATTTGCACGGAATTATAATTCGTGTTTTTTAGTCTCTTTTTTTTAATTTTTTACATAAGAAGTTAAATAAATAATTATATTTAAGTTTTGGGTAATAAAAACCATTCTCTTCCAAGGTTGCACGGAGGCAGCCGACAGATGCATCAAGACGGCATGGGCATTATACATATATTTTTTACTTATGCCTCTCCTATATTTTTTTTTTATTTTAATTGTGTAGTCTTTTTTATTTTATTAACGTTTTCTCTAGATGACCTTAATTTTATTATTTATGAATTTTTATAAGTAAAAATTCTTAAAATTGACCTCATTTAACTTTTTTTTACGAGAAATCGTGTCTATTTTTATTCGAGTATTAATTATAGTATTTACTATATGTCAAACAATTTTTAATTTATTTCCTATGTAAAAAAAAAAAAAAAATTTAATTTTAATATGTACAAAAATAAATTTTAATCTACTTGAATTTTATATTAAAATATTGTAAGGTTTTCTATAAGGGTAATTTTAGTATTTTAGATAAAAAAAAATTTTATTAAAAATGATGGTTTAATAGCAAGGGTGTTAGTGATATTTAAATATAAATTATAAGGATTTTTTGTAATATTTTAAATAATATAGGATGTATCCTTAAAAATATGATAAATTAGAGGAAATGTAAATGAAATTTTTTCTGAAAAGAAATTTGTGTGTGAACTCGAAAGATTTGGATGATTCCAAAAGACCTCTGCTCTGACACCATTCGCGCAATAGAAATAATAATAATAATAAAAATAATAAGTTACTGAGGCAGCTCATCGAAGCAGGCGGCATTATTATACTATGCGTGGTGGTTGGGTTTTTTATATAATTCAACCCGTTTTAACAGTTTTTTTAATGAGTAATTTTATATGAATTTAAAAAATAGATTTAATAATTATAATTATTGATTTTATTGTATGTCTCATTATTTATTGAGATCCATTACCCATAAAATGATTGTGATTATTAAATTCCAAAAAAAATTACAAAGTTTGAGTTGTGAAAATGATAGCAGGAAGTCATTACCTCCCCTACTTAGAACTGATTAAGGAGGTTATAATCAGGGGTGAAGCATGCATTCAAGTTTAGGAGGAAAAAATATAATTAAAAAAATTCATTAAAGCGGTCTAGTGCATGATACTTCTATCTACGCGGAGTTTAAGGAGGGTCATATGTAAATAATCAATACAAAAAAATTTGAAATTCAAACAAGACAAGATATATAAGTTTTAAGATTAAATTATTTGATGAAACTAGTTTCTATTTATCTTAAATAAAAAAAAAAGCAAAAAAGACACAAAAAAATATTTATTTATATATATACCAGTTATGACATTTAATTATGTTTTATTTAATCAAGAAATAAAATATTTATTTTAGGGGAGCAATGGATTACTACCTTAACAAATAAAATAAAAAACTTAGGTCATGTTACTAATTTTCAAGAAATTTAGGGGGCAAATTTATGTATTGTTTAGTAGGATGGAAGATTTGGAAAGTTGAAATAATGGAAAGTTAGAGAGATAGATAAAACATTATATTTGGTAAGGAAGGAAAATAGGAAAGATAAAAAAGTGGATATATTAGCTTTTCTTCTAACTCACAAAAATCAATCCTTCCAAAATTCGGTGGAAAGTGGATAAAAAACTAATTATGTGTGTTGAAATATATATTATTTGTCATTGTATTCTTTGATATATATACATATATCATATTTATCAATTACATATTATGTATTTATATATATATATATATATTTAAAATTTAAAAATTTTAAAAAATACTTTTTTCATCCTATCAAACACAAAAAAATCAATTATTCGTACTTTCTATCTCTCTTACCAAATACAAAGAAGGGAATGAAGAATTTCTTCTTTGAAAGATATAAAGTATACGACTCCCACTTTTTATTATGTTATTTTTTTCATCCACCCTACTACATGAGCCATTAATAAATAGAATAAAATAATAGATAATATACAAAGAAGATTCAAAAGTCAAATGTCCGAAGGTGGCTCCGGCCCTAGTTATAACCTATAGTCTCATACAGTTAGTAACTCTATAAACTATAAAAATTGAACTTTTGTTAGCATAAAAGTCAAAGGATCTCATATAGGGAATTTGCCAAAGTGTATAAAGTTAGACGGTATTGATCCAATGTTAGACAGTATTGATTCTCATGTTTTTGAGCATCACATTTCAATGAAAACCGAGATAAGTATCAAATAAAAATTAAGTAGTGTCAGGTCGAATGAGCGTCTTAGTTCTTGTTTGAAGACTAGAACTTAAAAATTCTGTCAATTTGAATTTGTACAATTATACTTTCTTATAAACTATCTCAAAAAATTATATTTATATTGGTTGTAAATTTAGTACCGTACATATATACCACATTTGATACCGTTAGGGTCATTTAGTTATAGTATTTAAAGGTGAATTATATAATCATAACATATTAAAAATCTCTAATCTAATCCTATATTTCATTTAGTTGCAATTACATATAGACTTATTTCAAATACATATACGAATAATAAGTTTTACCCTTCTGTTGAGTTGATTAGAATATCACCTAGAGTTGTGGTATTATAATTCAGTTCAAGTGAATTATGTTGTAAATTTAATATTTTGTTCATCAAATAAACAAAAACATGAATAATTAGACTAGATTGATGATTTTTTTGTCAATTTGTAATTAGTACTCTATTATTCTACTCTTAATTTAACGTTAAACTGAATTACAATGAATAATATTTTTATTTCATATTTAATCTTATATTTTATTCACTGATATGGATACAATCAAATAAATTTGTCGATACGGAATTAACTTATATTAGACCATCTCTAGTCCTTACTTAAACCCTTACCCAAATTTGAGTTAAAAATTTGATTTGATATTGATCTTTGCAATGGACAAATCCTTTTTTGTACTCAAATTTTTTAAAAAAATTCTATGTTATCCCAATAGCTCTTTTGTTTTCATTTTTTCTTCTAAAACCTTTTTTACTCTTCTCTTTTCTCTACTTTTTTACCTCCAAACTTCTTTACCCCTCAATTTTTTATTCCCTCCAAATTAAAGCACATAACCAATCAATAAAATTTTCTTGATGTTGGATTTTTTCTTGACCACTTATATATATATATATACAACGTTTGTGACAAAAGCATATATATATATATATATATATATATACAACGTTTGTGACAAAAGCAAAGAGAAAGAGAGTGTTTACGTGGAGAGGTCCATCGGAAAGCATAGTCGGCATGGAAAGAAGAAAGATAGCAGATTTTTTACCATTAGATTTTTGATTTTAGGTATTGAATCTCTCTTAATTTGAGTTTAGAAAAATGTCTTTCTTCAGTATGAGTCTGAGTATAAAACTGAAGATAATATTTAGATTTTTTTTTATCTAAATTTAAATTTGAGTTTAAAAAAAAAGAGATGCTCTTAATACAATCTATTTATTCAGCAAACAACCAACCTACTGTTGCTCTATATATATCATCACACCGTAGTGCCTTTGTCTTTATTCTCAAGCCTCTTCAGGCTAACGAAAAGTGGAGCTCGAGGAAATTCAGAGGCATCAACTGAATCAAGGGTATTGTTTTCTTATTAATTACGCATTCTATGGGGCTTGATGTAGACTCTGTACAACTTTACCAAGTCTATGGAAATTCTTCCTGCAGTTCTAAATTTTGGCTCTCTCTCTCTCTCTGTCTCTGTCTCTGTCTCTGTCTCTCATATTTTCCAAATACACAAGTTATTAGAACTGTGGTGTTTATTGATGATTGTTGCAATATGCAGCAGATAGAGGCAAAAATGACTGCTAGTGAAAGAAATCCAGGCAACAAGTTGCAGAAAAGCTACTTCGATGTATTGGGTCTTTGCTGTTCATCAGAGGTTCCTTTGATCGAGAAGATTCTGATGCCACTTCCTGGAGTCAAAGATGTTACAGTTATCGTCCCATCCAAAACAGTCATTGTTGTTCACGACACTCTCCTCATCTCCCAGGTTCAGATTGGTAATCATTAAAAGAAATTTCTCTCTCCTTAATTTTCTTTTATTCAATTTGTAAATAGTTATTAATGACAAAAGTCCTAAAGTCAATAGACGCAAAAAAAAAAAAAAAAAAAAAAAAAGAATACCAAAAAGTAGGCTAATTACAATTCTTTAAAAATCTGAGGTTAATCATAATTTTTGTAGTTGACCATATGAGTTTTAATATTTGAAAGTATTACATAATAACTTTGTTGTATTGTTTTGTACAATCAAACTCCGAGTCATCCGTTAATCATTTATTCGGTTACTCAACTTATTTTTCATAATTTTTAATTTTTAAGTTATTTTACACACTATCTTCTAGATTAAAATCAAGGTATCAAATAACAAAATCATAAAACAAAAACTTAAAAAGTAGGAATAGTACTAAGATTGAAATACATTAAACACAATAATTATCAGTCAAAGAGAAAGAAAAAGGTTTGTCGTACAAAATAATAGTAAATTATAAGTCAATTTTAATTCCATATTAAGAACATAGAACAAAAAAAAAATCGTAAATATGTAAATCTAGACCAACGGAAGAGAGTTTTAACACAATAAAAATGACGAAACATATTTTGACTTGTTTTAAATCATTTTAAAGGAAAAATAAAAGTAAAGTATGTACATATAGGGTGGACACAATATGATATATGTTTGTTATGTCTCATAAACATTTTCTTTTCTTTCCTTTTCTTTGGGGCTGGGGAAGGGGAAGGGGAAGGGGGTGATCTAATAATCTTCATCCATTGTATTGACTAAATTAGATGGTGATACTATGTATCAATAATAATATGATGTCACCGTTACACTTAATATTTGCTCCTTTCTTGCCAAGGTGTCAACTATACCTCTCAATTATTTGTTAAGCAAAAAAAATGTAAAGTGTACTTTTCTAGGAAAACAAATAATGAATTGCACATGGAATCAACCGTAATTGCTAGTAAAGAAACCAATGGTTGATTTGTGGTCCATTTTCATGACCAAAACTAATGAAAGCACCAAGGAGCCACGTGTCCATCCTCAATTTTATTGTCTTATTATTATGTATTATATTTTCTTTAAGTATATATAATTGAGTAATACTATTTAAACCTAAAAAAATTGATCTAATTTACTGATATAATGATATGACTTCATAGAAGCTATTAAATCAACCCTAAGTTCTAATGTTTGATGAGATCTATATTGAATCCAAAGGTTACAGTGAATTAGGTCAACAAATTATGTTAATAAATTAAGTTCCAATAGGATTGCTCCATCTAACTATGTCTATCTTATTATTTTCTTGAAAAATGTAATTAATACTTAATTTGATAATCTAATTTAGAAATCTAATCCGATATAACCATTGGTAGACTTTATCTCACCTTGAAACTCACAATTAGTCCAACAACTACATTGAATTAGGTCTATATAATATTATTTTATTTTCTTATTGTATCAATTAGTACACACTCATAACTAAATGACTAACAGTGGACCCACTTTAGACATATTCAAACTAGCTTGTACATATTGAGCTCATTTTAAAATCTTTTGATCAACTTGACCAGTTATTATTGATGTGTACTTTAGTATTGAATTTAAAATGTAGTAGAGATTTGTGATCTTACTCACAAAATTCTAAAATAAACAAATACGTGGTATATTTTTTAGTGTACATATATATGATTTTGACATTAATTTCATTAGTCATTAATAATGAAGTCGTCAGACAAAGTTAGCAAAATATGAAAATTTGTTGGGTCAATTAAAACTAGTTGCGGTTAACCTCATTTTCAGTAAAAGATATAATTAATCTTTTTTCTGTTGTACACATGTATGTATAAAATTTTTAAGGATCATTGGTAAAATAAATAGTATAAATATGTTATCTTTTTTTTATTTTATCGATTAAGATAAAACATGATAGAATGCTTACCCTTAAATATTTTTCTGGTTCCGCCACTAAAAACATCCTAGGGTGATTTCTTAAGAACCACAGATACGGATATAAGATATGAGTACGATACAATATAGATATGTTAGTACGATAAAATCTTAAATAGTAGAATACAGATATGACTAGGGTACGTTTATCTTATAAAATATATGATACTATGAAATTGTACCATAAAATTGGGGATCCGAGGGGTAAGGAAACAAAAACCCACATCCCAAATTAAAACCATATACGTACGTTTTTTTTTTTCGGCAAGTCCATATACGTACGTTGCTGGCATAGAGATTGCACAATGGTGTGTTGAATTCAATGAAGTACTAGACTATTGAGCACAAAAATTAATTCAAATTTACATAAACCAATTTATTTAGCGTTAGGATCATGTGGAGACACGCGTATCTGACAAATATTCAACAATTATAAATATTTTATTAATTATTCAATACACACATAAGATATCTAATACTTATCTTCAATTATCCAACAAATATGGGTATCCGACACATATCAGATATGAGTACATCGCCTCAATCGAAGTACCCCCGTGATTCATAGGTGACTTCTTACACCTACAATAACATATGACCGTTTTGTTTGTTGGTGTTTAATGACAGTTAAGGCACTGAATCAAGCGAGGTTGGAAGCAAATGTTAGAGTATCTGGAAGTGGAGGGGGAAACTATCAGAAAAAATGGCCGAGTCCATTTGCAGTTGCTTGTGGTGTTTTACTAGCGCTATCATTTTTAAGATACGTGTTTCACCCCTTTCAATGGGTTGCTCTTGGAGCGGTTGCTATTGGTATATATCCAATAGTTTTGAGAGCTATAGCGGCGATCCGCAATTTCACACTCGATATCAACATTCTTATGCTAATTGCAGGTAGTAGCTGATTACTTTACGGTACATATTCTATTAAGCCAATCACTTTGGGTAACTAAAGTAGCTGTTATAGATGGTTTATGATACTCCATGATATTAAAGATCATAATGTTGGTGAAGCTTGGAAAGTCAACAACTTGGCTGTAAATATGAGAATTTGACGATGATAATTTTTGTTTCTTTTGATTTTTCCATGCATTGCATGGTCCATTGCTACTCACTTACAGTAAGATAAGGTACCATTTCATTTGTGATAGAAACAATACTTGCACTATAAGAGTTAAGGTCTTTTGAAACAAGTTTTTTGCAATAACAATACTCACCGTCACAAAAAAGTACATTTTTTAGGAATTTTTTTTTTATGACTATCATAAAAAATTTATTTGTTGTCGCAACTAATATTTGAGACAGGTTATCGCTATTACAAAAACTTTTTAAATTTCCACTACAACATGTTGCACCATAGTTTTTGTGGTGGTAAATGTTGTCTAAAATAATATTTGCGGCGGTAAATAAACTTTTTATGACAGCATTACTGTCATAAAAAATTTTTTTCTCCGAAAACAACTTTTTCGTGAAGATAAACACTACCACTACAAAAACCTTGTCTCAAAAGAATTAGACTCGTTTGACTAAAAACGATAAAGTTAAATAAAAGGCAAAAATCAAAGAGGACCAATATGGATTTATATTGGTTACTAATCATCTTGTGTTCATTAAATTATTGATTCCTCTTATATATTCTTACTACTCAATATCTTGCAGTCGCGGGATCCATTGTTTTGCATGATTATTGGGAAGCTGGAACTATCGTCTTTTTGTTTACAATAGCAGAGTGGCTCGAGTCAAGAGCTAGTCATGAGGTTAGTTAATGGCATGGCTTCTCTTTTTCTTTTTAGTTCATTTATCAACTGCATTAAGTATTTCGTCTCCATATAAAGCAAACTGTAACAGTGAATAAAACAGTAATAAGCAGTTCATACAATCCCTGGTTTGGCAACTTTTGAGCATAAGGCTAGTAGGGTGAATGTGGGAGTAGCTACCCATTAATTGTAGAGGATGAACACCCGTCTTTTCCTATTGGGTTATACCGTTGTTTAAGGTTGTCAAAACGTATATCGAAAAACATATCATTTTAAAAAAATGATATATCATGTATCGTAAAATACGGTCTTGTATGATCTATTAAATGAATTGAAGGGAGCTGATAAGCGTAATGCCAAATTATTATCCTTTTATTGATTTTTCACATCAGATATCGTAGCGGATACAATACTCACCGAATACTTAAGAATATGTATCTAATACCTACAACACTACTTACTAATATATCAAAATTCTAAATATGTCGTGGATATGTACTCAAAATAAATATACTTTGGATATGCAAGTGAATGCATGAAACAATATGTAATTTTTTATTGATTTGTTTTTTATTTTTTTCCTTTCCCCTCGAATTCACATATAATGAACCACATGTAGAAAACATCATACAACTCTGAAAACATGTGAGTGTTTCATTAGCATTGTTTACTATCAAATTTGACAAAAGCACAAAGTGAGTTAATTAATCCATATCTTTTGGCAGCATGCAATTATAAGCAAATCAACTACTTAAATGTTGAATCCGATTCCTTTTAAGTTCTCACGTTTACTTTGTGTATATACAATAATTAGACAATTTATACTTGTTTGAAAGTAAAAGTTACGAATTTTATAATTATGAAGTCAAAAAATAAAATAGATTCTGTTATATACCTATCCTATCAAAATTTGTATTCTATTTCTTAGAGCTTTGCTGTATCGTTATATCTATATCATATCGTATCGGTATCCCTATCCTTATCTATCTTCGTGCTTCCTATGTGATAGATGTTGGAAGTTGTGGGCATTATTTTTAAAAAAATGCCTTCAAAAAAGAGTCATTTGACACAATTGCTTCCATTTCCGCGCAACCTTTATTGGAAACTAACTGAAAGTGTGAAGAACAAATTGCAAAAAAATTGAAGTTGCAATTTGGTTTACCCTTAATGAAAGGGACAAGCGACATTTTTTCAATGAAGCACAGAAGCACAAAATACGAAGGGGATGCATATTAGCATTAGCTCATTCATGAGAGAGAGAGAGCACAAAATTAATGGATTAGAACTAAGGTTGATAATCCAGTCGAGTTTGTCAAACTCGTTTTTTTAAATGAGACCACCCAATGATGGAGATAATCATGCATGTGTAGGCCAATGTTGTCATGTCATCATTGGTGAACATAGTTCCTCAAAGAGCTGTATTAGCTGAAACTGGAGAAGAAGTTAATGCTGATGAAGTGGAGGTGAACACTATTCTAGCTGTGAAGCCCGGAGACATTATACCTCTCGATGGGATTGTAGTAGATGGGAAATGTGAAGTAGATGAGAAAACTTTAACTGGGGAATCATTTCCAGTGGCCAAGCAAAAGGATTCCACTGTTTGGGCTGGCACAATCAACCTAAATGGTACTTTTTCTTAATACTATCCTATATATGGCTTTACTTTTTATGGATATGTCCCTACAACACGTTTGGATCCTCTCTTCAGGTTATATTAGTGTTAAAGCTACAACGCTATCAGAAGAATGTGTGGTGGCTAAGATGGCAAAGCTTGTAGAAGATGCTCAAAGCAACAAATCCAGAATTCAAAGATTGATAGACAAATGTGCCAAGTACTACACACCAGGTTAGTTTGTTTAAAAAGGAAATTTGCGTACAGGATATATAATACAGAAAGTTAACGAGAAAGAAACAACTTTAAGACTGACTACTTCATAGTTTTGTAAACAAATTTGAGATGTACTGTTTTAGTTTGCATTAGTATAGGTACTATTGTAATAACAGCTACTTATGTAATGGGAGGTAATTTTTTTTTGTCATTTCAAACATTGTCATTTGTTTATCTGTTGTTATTATTATCTTAACAACTACAAATATATAAAATTTTCTTTGGCTTGATAGCTTCTTGTTTCTTTGCAGCCATTTTGGCTATATCAGCTTGTATAGCTGTTGTTCCGGCTGCACTAAAAGTACATAATCGCAATCAATGGTATCACCTGGCCCTGGTTGTTTTAGTAAGTGGATGCCCATGTGCATTTATTCTCTCGACACCAGTTGCAACATTTTGTGCACTTTCAAAGTCAGCAACATCAGGTGTTCTAATAAAAGGAGCAGAGTATCTTGAACTTCTGGCAAAAATAAAGATCATGGCTTTTGACAAGACTGGGACAATAACTAGAGGAGAATTCATGGTGACAGAGTTTCGATCTCTCTTTGATGGCGTTAGCATGAACGCATTGCTTTATTGGTAAAGATTACTTTCTTTCGGCATACTTAGATTGTTAAAAGAAAGGAATACTTCAGAAAAATTATATTAATTGTTCATATATTACTATTGTTTTGGGGAGAGCGTCGATAGAAATAATTGAACAGGGTCATTGGATCATGTAAATACTCAACAAGAAAAATTATAGGAAACTAGTTTGTGTCGTTGATCATGCTTTGATTGCTGGTGGAATATGAAAAACTGACATTCATACTAAATATGAAGGGTATCAAGCATTGAGAGTAAGTCAAGTCATCCAATGGCAGCTGCACTTGTTGACTACGGACATTCATATTTTGTTGAGCCAAAGCCTGATAAAGTCGAGGAATTTCAAAATTTCCCTGGTGAAGGAATTTATGGGAAAATTGATGGTAAAGACATATATATTGGTAACAAGAAAATTGCAATGAGAGCAGGGTGTGCAACAGGTGAAAAAGATTCATCTCTTACATATTAAAAATTATTCTTTGGTTTCGAGTAGGAAGAGTATTTCAAGAGTATCGTTTCTTTTGTTGCATATGTTATTGGAAATATATCTTGTTTCCTTTCTTCCTGCATAAATTTTCAGTTTCAGACTTAGAAGTTGATGCTGAAGAAGGGAAGTCCATCGGATACATATTCTTGGATTCGTCTACTGTTGGAATTTTTAGTCTCTCTGATATTTGTCGAACTGGAGTCAAGGAAGCAATCCAAGAACTAAAATTAATGGGCATTAAAACTGCTATGCTTACAGGAGATTGTCATGCAGCAGCTAAGCGTGCACAAGATCAGGTGATTCATCAAGCCCTTATTTTTTTACAGATTCGTTGCCATGTCTTTGTATCATCCCAATCTTAATTGGATTGCATCCAATTGATATTTGTTGATAATTGTCATGTCCACAAATTCGAAAATTTACCAATAGAAAGGATGATATGTATTTGCAGATAGGGGGTGCTTTAGACATGGTACATGCAGAACTTCTACCAGAAGACAAAGCAAGGATTGTCAAGGAATTTCAGAAGGAAGCACCTACAGCCATGATTGGTGATGGCATGAATGACGCCCCTGCATTGGCTACAGCTGATATTGGCATCTCAATGGGCATCTCAGGCTCGGCACTTGCGAAGGAGACAGGGCAAGTCAGTCTAATGTCAAATGACATTGGAAAGATTCCAAAGGTTGTCCGACTTGCAAGAAGGACCCGCAGGAAAGTAATCGAGAATATCATTTTATCAATTGCTACCAAAGCTGCCATATTGGGATTGGCCATTGCAGGTCACCCACTAGTTTGGGCTGCAGTTCTTGCTGATGTTGGGACTTGCTTGCTAGTGATCTTTAACAGCATGCAACTTCTACAAGGAACTCCAAGATATAACAGAAAATATTGGAAATCACATACTGCGATACAAGCCGACAAACATGGATGCAGAACTACTGGTGGCTGCTCCTCCCTCACCCATGATCACCAATCATCTGGGATTGAAACTCAAAAGAAGTGTAATCCTCCAGAGTGTTGTTTTGTCCCTGTTAGCTTGATGCCTTGTGCTAGTAATTTGTGCTCAGAGTCAGATGACAAGCATGGTCATTTACATGATAATCACCTGCATGAGGCAAAACACTGGGATCATGAAAAATGTGACACGGAAACTGGGGATCATGAAAAATGTGACATGGAAACTCAGGACGAGGAATCACACAGTGAACACAATCATGTTTGCTCTGCCCATTCAAACTCTTGTAGGGAGGATGAATGCATAAGCTCAGTTGAAATTTGTGGTGGCTATGAAGCAGGTGATGAGATCCAGGAAGCAAAAGACAGCAAGCATCAGGACCCTAGCAAGATCGATCATATTCTGGGATCACGGTGTGTTCACAACAGTTCTGCAAAACTAGGCCAAGATATGCCCGTAAATAATCACTGCCACATGAACAGTTGTGCAGAAAACAACATGGTCAAGATTAGGTGCAGGAAGTCCCCGACAAATGGCCATCTTCATTCTGATTGCAATCAGCTACATAAAACCTTATCATCCGCTACTAGCCATGTGGAATGTACATATGTTAGGGCTTGCAAGAGTTTGAAGAAGAGACGGTTTGTAGCATGTTGCAGGAGCATTAGGCAGCAGTGCTGTGGCAGTAGTGGACATTTTGGTTCTAGTTTCAGAGGAAGTTTACCTGAAATCGTCATTGCCTAGATTTACCTTCAAGAATGTTCAAAGTTAACCTCTTGTTTTCCCAGTCATCTGACTAGGGAACTTTATGAAAATGTGTGAAAGGTACTTGATGTATGAAAATAAATGATGTATCATGCAATGTATAATACTTGTTAAATTACGATATATGAATTGAAGGTATGCTAGATCTGGTAACACGAATAACAAATAGATTGGGTATGTAGTCCTTTACTTGTAACAAGCTGCACACATGGCACCACATGCCATGTTGATACTTTATAATGAAGGTCTTATCATTCACTTGTTACAATCCAACTAAGCCCCTTGTTGGACTCTAATTTTTCTGAGGCAGGATAGAGCTTCATCCAATGATAATGCGACACATGACATGGTATGAACCCCGTGTCTTCAATCTGGCAAGAACTGACCCTTGCCTTCACAAATGACTCTTACGAGACTCGAACCCCTAATGTCATTGCTCAGAGGTGAACTACCATTCAGACAAATTCAGTGGTGGTAGTCAAACCTAATCGTTGCCTATAATGTTAAGAGGTATGTACTGAATTACATTTGAATGAACAGGTAATCCATATTTTGTAAGATACAATTGGTAATCAGAAATTGATATACATTGCCAATTTCAACATGTTCTTCATAATACAAGTACCTTTGAAACTGTCAACAAAATTTCCCAAACGAATTACAGGGAAAAGAAGTTGAATATCCTTTTAAGTAAACCTATTCGATGATAATTTCTGACAAACCTCCTTTGAAACTAGCACCAAAATGTCCATTCTTGTCACAACACCCCTTCCTGAAGCTCTCACAACATGCACCAAATTGTCTATTCTCCAAACTCATACAAGCCTTAACAGTTGTACATTCCACATGGTTAGAAGCCGAACACAAGTTTTTGTGAAGCTTACCACCTTCTGTAGCATGCTTGTTGCTCTCAGAATGATCCTCCCCATTTGGTGGGCAATTCTTGCTACAACATTTGATCATGCTGCTTAATGCTTCGTCGCCAATGTGGTTTTCTAAGCAGTTTTTCATGCAAATGTTCTTGTGGCTATGCTTATTGATAGGCAAGTCCTGGTCTAGTTTGGAAGAACTGATTGAACAATCCAAGTGGCTGTGCACACTCTGCGTTGCCATGTTGTGATTGATCATGCTATGGTCCTTGTGCTTGCAATGTTTTGCCTCATGGATCATATCACCTGCTACACAACCACCATGATTTTCAACTTTTATTACGTCTTCATCCTCCCCACAACAGCTCGAATGGCCTGAGCAACCATGGTTGTGTACACTGCCTAATTCTATATCCTTAGTGATCATGTCACATTTTCCATGATCCCCATGTTTTGCCACTTGTAGCTGATTATTATGTGAACAATGACCATGCTTGTTCACTATGTCTGAGCTCTTATCATTCACGAGTGATCTTGAACTGGAAAGGACAGAATCACACCTTGATGCACACATCTTGGAAGAGCAGCTTTGAGGCTCATACTTCTTTTGAGCTTCAATACCAGAACAACAATGTTGTTTGGTGTGGGAGCGGTGGTCACCATCAGTTTTGCATCCATGTTTGTGGTCATGCAGCACAACAGAGGATTTGCAGCATTTTTTTGGATATTGTGGTGTTCCTCGTAAAAGTAGCATGCTGTTTAAGATCACTAGCAAGCATGTCCCAACATCAGCCAGAACTGCTGCCCAAACTATGGGGTGCCCTGCAATGGCCAATGCCAGTATGGCAACCTTAGTAGTAACTGACAAAATCATATTCTCAATCACTTTTTGGCGGGTTCTTCTTGCAAGTCGGGCTGCCTTTGGTATCTTCTGAATGTCATTTGACATGAGAATCACTTGCCCTGTCTCAGTTGCAAGGGCCGAGCCTGAAATCCCCATTGAGATGCCAATGTCAGCTGTAGCTAATGCAGGGGCATCATTCACGCCATCACCAATCATGGCTGTAGGTGCCTCCTTCTGAAATTCTTTGATGATCCTTGCCTTGTCCTCTGGTAGAAGTTCTGCATGCACTACATCTAAAGCATTCCCTAACTGCAAACAAATGGTTTCCCTTCCATTAGAACAATTTATCTTCGTAGCATTACAATGTCAAGAATATAAAGGTGTCACTTTAACATAGATCATAGTTCTTTTGGTTTCACATGAAAAAATCCTGTTTAGCTTAATTTAACTGTATCAAATTATAGCCCAAACAAAGATCCAGTCCAAGGATAGGAGTGTCAAGGACTTGTGTTCAATCAATATCAACTGCTTACAATGTAGTTAAGATTGACCCATTGCACATGAATGGCAAGTGAACTATAAAAATTAAAAGCTATATATATGAATCACCTGATCTTGTGCATGCTTAGCTGCTGCATGACAATCTCCTGTAAGCATAGCTGTTTTAATGCCCATTGTTTTCAATTCTTTAATCGCCTCTTGGACCCCAGTTCGACAAACATCAGAGAGACTGAAAATTCCAGCAGGAAGAGAATTCAAGAATATGTATCCAACAGACTTTCCTTCTGTAGCACCACCTTCTAAGATTGGAACTGGAAGTTTGAAGATTTAAATGATTAAAACAAAGCAAGAAGAAATAAATGCTCAATATATTGCACATATACATGTGCAAAGAAACGAAAAATATTGGAGTACAATTTTTCCTGAAAACTAAGAATAGACCCGAGGATATCACTATTGCTTTGGAAGTCATGGTTTTAGAAGATGATTTCGAATATATTAGAAGTGAAAATTTTCACCTGTTGCACATCCTGCTCTCATGGCAATTTTTCTGTTCCCAACATAGATATCATTCCCATCAATTTTCCCATAAATGCCTTCTCCAGGAAAATTTTGAAATTCCTCGACTCTGTCAGGCTTTGGCTCAACAGAAAGTGAATGTCCATGGTCAATAAGTGCAGCCGCCATTGGATGACTTGATTTGCTCTCAATGCTTGCAACCCTTTACAATTAGTAAGCATGTTAGTTTCTATGTCAAACAAAGATTTAGTTAATGAGAAACTTGGGTAGACAGAAACCAAACTCATCCATGTTCTTTATTTTTGAACTCATCCTACATTGTGGTAATCTAATTGTTCGAACAAGTAACCCTTACCAGTAAAGCAATGTGTTCATGTCAACATTGTCCAAGAGAGATTGAAAATCTGCCACTATGAATTCTCCTTTAGTTATTGTCCCAGTTTTGTCGAAAGCCATGATCTTTATCTTAGCCAAAGTTTCAAGATACTCTGCTCCTTTGATCAGAAGACCTGATGTTGCTGCCTTTGAAAGTGCACAAAATGTGGCAACCGGTGTAGAGAGAATAAGTGCACATGGACATGCACTTACTAGAACAACCAGGGCTAAGTGATACCATTCATTGCGGTTGTGAAGTTTTAGTGCCGCGGGAACAACTGCCAAAGAAGCTGATATAGCCATAATGGCTGCAAAGCATAAATAGTAAAAACATCAGGCCAAATTAAAATTAGCATTTCTAAATTTGTTGATAAAGAAAATAATAGACACCTCAATGTTTATTTAACATTGACTAACCTGGTGTATAGAACTTGGCGCATTTGTCTATGTATCTTTGAGTCTTAGATTTATTGTTTTGAGCATCTTCTACAAGCTTTGCCATCCTAGCCACCACACACTCTTCAGCTTGTGCTGTGGTTTTAACACTAACATAACCTAAAGCGAGGATTAAAACCTGTTAGCAGAAATTTCTTACACCCTAAAAACCAAAACACAAGAATCAAGAGGGAAGTTATACCATTTAAATTGATTGTGCCAGCCCAAACAGTGGATTCCTTTTGTTTGGCCACCGGGAATGATTCGCCCGTTAAAGTTTTCTCATCAACTTCACATGTCCCTTCTACAACAATACCATCTATGGGTATAATGTCACCTGCCTTAATAGCTAGAATTGTGTCCACCTTGACTTCAGCAACATCAACTTCTTCTCCAGTTTCAGCTAATACTGCTCTTTGAGGAACTATGTTCACCAACGATGACATGACAGCAGTGGCCTATGCAAGCATGATATAGCCATCCATTATATACACATCAAATTGCAAATCAACGAATAGTGCCTATCTGTGTTTAATTGATCATCAAAACTAGTAGTTGTATAACTAATTTTAATCCAGGAAAGACCAATTTGCAGAATCAGAATCAGGTAAATGTTGAAAATAAAAAAGAACATTTAATGACATAGTACACTATTATGCAGTGTCTATCCTTAAGGTGAATGTTTTTTGATTTTTCTAATATTTCAGGTTTATAAATGTTTATTCACATTTCCAATACAAAGAGCAGGACAATTGTAAAATCAACTGTAACATTCTGCTATTGTTATATGGTACCATATTCTAATTTGTCCAACTTTATATTAAAAAAAGGAATGATTTGCTATTAACTAGTACACTAAAAAAGACTCAGTAAATAATTTCCAAGATCAACTTGGTGCCAAGTTTAATGGCAAAAGGTTTCATCCACTCTCAAACATTTAAATTCACAGCAATCCTAATTGTAAACTCTACAAGGTTTCATCTACAGAATATAGTAACTGTCAAATGGCAATGCAACTTTTTCACTAGTGAAATAACATATTCATGGGTTTATGGAATCCGAATCCTCTGTTGTTAGTTTTTTTAACCGCAGGGGCGTCGTTTCACACCAAAACGACATTATTTAGAACAACGTCGTTTTAGTGTGAAACGGCTTCGTAGAACAATTGACAAACCTTGTGAGTAGCCCTTGACTCGAGCCATTCTGCTGTTGTAAAGAGAAAGACAATGGTAGCAGCCTCCCAATAATCATGTAGAACAATTGATCCCGCAACTGCAACATGTGCAAAATTGACAACAAATATTCAAAAGTGAACTTTGCAACGCTAACATGATCCATATCAAAACTGGCATGCATGGTGTTTTCTTTTCGATTTTTTGTATTTTCTTTTGGATGATTGACATTTTGCACTCTAAAAGATTATCAAATTTTTAATT